TGAGTAGTATTCCATTGTGTATATGTGCCACAATTTATTTATCCATTCTTCAGTTGAAGGGCATCTAGGTTGTTTCCAGGTTTTGGCTATTACAAATAATGCTGATATAAACATAGCTGAGCAAGTGCTCTTGTGGTATGTTTGAGCATTTTCTTCTTTAGGGGAAATGCTTTGAATTTTTCTCTGTTTAGAATGATGTTGCTTGTTACTTGTTATGTTTCTTTAAATATGTTGTGAGATATCCCTAGCCTCTTTAGTCTTTCCAGTAATTTTAACAGGAAATAATGTTGTTTTTTCTATTATAAAGGGATATAAGACAAATTTTACCTAAATGAGCAATCAATCCTCACAGGTGATGGGAGGTTAGGGCAGAGAAGGGGAGGGATAACCAGTGGTAAAGTACTCTTAAAAACCATAATGAATCCACAAGGATGACCCAACCTTAGACTATTAGCAATAGTGGAGAGGGTACCTGAACTGACCTAGTCTGGTAATCAGATTGGTGAATAACTTAACTCTCACCATAGAGCCTTCATCCAGTAAATGATGGAAGCAAATGCAGAGATCCATAGCCAAACACCAGGCCATGCTCCAGGAGTCCAGTTGGAGAGAAAGAAGAGGGATTCAATGAACAACGGGTATCAAGACCATGATGGAGAAATGTACAGAGACAAACAAACCAAACTAGTGTGAACTCATGAACTCTGGACCAATAGTTGTGGAGCCTCCATGGGATTGGACTAGACCCTTGGCATAGGAGAGATAGTTGTATAGCTTGACCTGCTTAAAGGCTCTCTGGCAGTGGGATCAGGACCCATTCCTGGTACATGTGTGAGCTTTTAAGAACCCAGTGCCTATGGTGGGACACCTTACACAGTCTTGTTGCAGGGTTAAGGGCTTGAACCTGCCTCAACTGAAGTTATCAGGCTCTGCTTACTCCCCATAGGAGGCCTTGCCTTGGAGAAGGTGGGAATGGGGAATAGGTTGGGTAAGAAGGTTACGGAGCAGAAGGAGGGAGGAGAGGGGGTATCTGTGGTTGTATAAAAAATTAATAGAAAATTTCTTAATAATAAAAAATGAAAAACATAAATCCATATGGAATTACTACTGAAGAAGCTTCCTGAAATATAAACATAAATAAAAATTTAATTAGAGTTACTATATAATGTTGGCATGATGATAACTAGACACAGAATTTTACTATATAAAATGCTACTGCAGGGATAGATTACACCTTTCAGAGTAATTGGCCACAGAGTTGCCATAGAAAACTCAAAATACAACATAGGGATAGGCCAAATACTATTGGGTAACCCCCACAAATTTATGGTAAGACCCTACCATTCAATAGATCACTAGCCTTTTTTTAAAAGAATGTGAAAACATTGTAGCAGATCAGTTCAATACTACTGGCTATTGTTTATTTTACTGGAGTTTCTATATGTGTTTCCAGAGTAGACAAGTAATCATCAATCTCAGCCAGCTACTGAACATTACTGAAACATTAATGATCTCTCTGGAAGAAATTCACAGTATTACATTTGAAAACATGTTGTGAATGTGAAAACCCACTTTTGTTTGGACAAGGACTGCTCTATGCAATGGAATCCATATTGTCATGGTTAAGAAGGTCAAGAACATGAAACCAAATGCATCATATGCTTTAGGGAAAGATATACCACAATTATTCTGCTATGTGAGCATACCAATAAGATGACATCTGCTCACATTGCTTTGGTTATAGACAAAAGCATTAGTCATCTCATATCTAAGATATATTTTGTAGCAGTAGATGATAGACATAGAGATACTAGCTATATATTAGACTTCACACTGTGCATCCATAAATGGGATATCTTTACTGCACCCTTACTCTTAAGCCACAGCGGTCCAAACAGAAGATAGAACTGAAAGACTGTAAACCAGAAGTGGTGTATGATTTAAAGGAAATAGCAATTTCTATAAAAGTAGGGCAGAGGGACATATGAACTCACAGAGACAGTAGTGACAGAATGTATAAACCTT